CCCCCCCTTTTAACATTTCTATTTTGATCTTCGTTCAGCTGCTTTATTCCCTTTCATTCTACGTAATGCCTCGCGCACCTCCCCCATACTCACATCCTGCTCTTCTTCACTCCTAAAAGATGGTATACCTCCCTGACCAGTGCATGAAATTACTGCCTCTGTTTCTTCCTTAACATTTAAAAGTTCCTCAAAATATTCTCGCCATCTACCCAATACCTCTATCTCCCGATCTACTAGCTCCCCAACTCTGTTTTCAACTGACTAATCCATTCGTTCCCTAGGCTTTCTTAACTTGTTTAACTCACTCCAAAATTTTTTATTTTCATTAAAATTTCTTGACAGTGTCTCTCCCACTCTATCATCTGCTCTCCTTTTGCACTCTCTCACCAATCTCTTCACCTTTCTTTTACTCTCCATATACTCTACTCTTCTTATAACACTTCTGCTTTGTAAAAACCTCTCATAAGCTAGCTTTTTCTCTTTTATCACACCCTTTACTTTATCATTCCACCAATCACTCCTCTTTACTCCTGCACCCATCCTCCTGTAACCACAAACTTCTGCTCCACATTCTAATACTGCATTTTTAAAACTATTCCAACCCTTTTCAACCTCCCCACTATTCATACTTGCACCAGCCCACCTTTCTGCCAATAGTTGCTTATATCTCACCCAAACTTTCTCCTCCCTTAGTTTATACACTTTCACCTTCCTCTTACTTCTTGTTGTCATTTTCCTCTTTTCCCATCTACCTCTTATTCTCTCTGTAGCTACAACTAAATAATGATCAGATATATCAGTTGCCCCTCTATAAACATGTACATCCTGGAGCCTACCCATCAACCTTTTATCCACCAATACATAATCTAACAAACTACTTTCATTATGTGCTATATCATTATCATGCTATATCGTAGGTTGGTAGACAGCAACCACCCAGGGAAGTACTACCGTCCTGCCAGATGACTGTGAAACAAAAACCTGTAACTGTTTTGCATGATGGTAGGATTGCTGGTTTCTTTTTCTGTCTCATAAACACGCTAGATAACAGGGATATCTTGCTACTCCTACTTACACTTTGGTCACACTTCACAGACACGCACATGCATATATATATATACATACATCTAGGTTTTTCTCCTTTTTCTAAATAGCTCTTGTTCTTTTTTATTTCTTCTATTGTTTCCCTGGGGAAAATGGAAAAGAATCTTTCCTCCGTAGCCATGCGTGTCGTATTATGAGGAAGAGCCAGTTGTGAGTGTGGGGGAAGTTCGTGAGGCAGTAGGTAAAAATGAAAGGGGGTAAGGCAGCCGGGATTGATGGGATAAAAAATAAAATGTTAAAAGCAGGTGGGGATATATTTTGGAGTGGTTGGTGCAATTATTTAATAAAGTATGGAAGAGGGTAAGGGACCTAGGGATTGGCGAGAGCATGCATAGTTCCTTTGTATAAAGGCAAAGGGATAAAAGAGAAGTGCAAAAATTAAGGGGATAAGGCTGTTGAGTGTACCTGGTAAGTGTATGGTAGAGTTAATAATTGAAAGAATTAAGAGTAAGACGGAGAATAGATAGCAGATGAACAAGGAGGCTTTAGGAAAAGGGAGGGGGTGTGGGACCAGGGGTTTACAGTGAAACATATAAGTGAACAGTATTTAGATAAGGCTAAAGAGGTCTTTGTGGCATTTATGGATTTGGAAAAGGCGTATGACAGGGTGGATAGGGGGCAATGTGGCAGATGTTTGCAAGTGTATGGTGTAGGAGGTAGGTTACTGAAAGCAGTGAAGAGTTTTTACGAGGATAGTGAGGCTCAAGTTAAGAGTATGTAGGAAAGAGGGAATTTTTTCCCAGTAAAATAGGCCTTAGACAAGAATGTGTGATGTCACCGTGGTTGTTTAATATATTTAAGATGGGGTTGTAAGAGAAGTAAATGCGAGGGTCTTGGCAAGAGGCGTGGAGTTAAAAGATAAAGAATCACACACAAAGTGGGAGTTGTCACAGCTGCTCTTTGCTGATGACACTGTGCTCTTGGGAGATTCTGAAGAGAAGCTGCAGAGATTGGTGGATGAATTTGGTAGGGTGTGCAAAAGAAGAAAATTAAAGTGAATACAGGAAAGAGTAAGGTTATGAGGATAACAAAAAGATTAGGTGATGAAAGATTGAATATCAGATTGGAGGGAGAGAGTATGGAGGAGGTGAATGTATTCAGATATTTGGGAGTGGACGTGTCAGCGGATGGGTCTATGAAAGATGAGGTGAATCATAGAATTGATGAGGAAAAAGAGTGAGTGGTGCACTTAGGAGTCTGTGGAGACAAAGAACTTTGTCCTTGAGGCAAAGAGGGGAATGTATGAGAGTATAGTTTTACCAACGCTCTTATATGGGTGTGAAGCGTGGGTGATGAATGTTGCAGCGAGGAGAAGGCTGGAGGCAGTGGAGATGTCATGTCTGAGGGCAATGTGTGGTGTGAATATAATGCAGAGAATTCGTAGTTTGGAATTAGGAGGAGGTGCGGGATTACCAAAACTGTTGTCCAGAGGGCTGAGGAAGGGTTGTTGAGGTGGGTTCGGACATGTAGAGAGAATGGAGCGAAACAGAATGACTTCAAGAGTGTATCAGTCTGTAGTGGAAGGAAGCGGGGTAGGGTCGGCCTAGGAAGGGTTGGAGGGAGGGGTAAAGGAGGTTTTGTGTGCGAGGGGCTTGGACTTCCAGCAGGCATGCGTGAGCGTGTTTGATAGGAGTGAATGGAGACAAATGGTTTTTAATACTTGACGTGCTGTTGGAGTGTGAGCAAAGTAACATTTATGAAGGAATTCAGGGAAACCGGCAGGCCGGACTTGAGTCCTGGAGATGGGAAGTACAGTGCCTGCACTCTGAAGGAGGGGTGTTAATGTTGCAGTTTAAAAACTGTAGTGTAAAGCACCCTTCTGGCAAGACAGTGATGGAGTGAATGATGGTGAAAGTTTTTCTTTTTCGGGCCACCCTGCCTTGGTGGGAATCGGCCAGTGTGATAATAAAAAAAAAATAATCATACCTTGTACGTATATTTATTTATCCTCTTCTTCATAAAATATGTATTACTTATTACCAAACCTCTTTCTACACATAGTTCAATTAAAGGCTCCCCATTTTCATTTACCCTTGGCACCCCAAATTTACCTACTACTCCCTCCACAACATTTCTGCCCACTTTAGCATTGAAATCCCCAACCACCATTACTCTCCCACTTGGTTCAAAACTCCCCACGCATTCACTCAACATTTCCCAAAATCTCTCTCCTCTACACTTCTCTACACTTCAATAGGAGACTTAGTGTTTAATAAATTCTTTAGTTATGAAGCCCTGTCTATGTTGTTTTTCATTTTCATTTTCATCAATGGATCTTAGTAAAATGCTGTTAGTAAGCCATGGGCAACCTAGTCGTTTATTAGTGATGTTTAGTTTTTATAGAATAATGCTTGTTAATCAGTCTATGCATTTTGTTTAGAAATATGACTATCCATTCATCAATACCACTGGTATTGGAAAATTCTGTAGGCCAGTCAAATGAGCTTAGCTCTGCAGTAAAGTTGTATACTGATGCCTCATCATGGAGTCGATAAGAGATCTTACTATATTCCATTGGTTGCTTACAAGTGTTTGTTAGGGGGAAGGTTGGGTAATGGTCAGTAGTGTTGTCTGTGATTATTCCTGATTTAAGGGGAGCTAGTATATCTGCCCATATATGGTCAATTATAAAGGTAAAGGTAAAGGTTACAATGTGTAATAACAATTTTATGATTGCACTTTTCTCAGGTAGCTTTGTTGGTTTTATTATAGCTTGTATAAGTATGTTTTTTTATACGTAATAAAAATTTTAAACAAAGGGTCATCTGTTAGTCCAAGGTTAATGTTGAAGTCTCCAGTTATTGTAGTAGTAGGTGGCACTTGTTCATTTGTGTTTTTAATTTATCACTAAATGTTGGGATATTAATATGAGGCATCCTGATAACCCGACTGAACAGGAGTTTTATTTTTTTTTCAGAAAGTTTGGGAAAAATGTTTTCCCCAGTGATGAAAACTGGTGGTGATTACAACATAATTTTTAAATTTAATAGAGGGAATACTAATGTAAATAAAATGCTTTTTAACTTAACAAAATGTTGGGGAAAAACCACATAGCACATCCCCGAGAAAAAGCAGCAGTAAACCAATGGCCTACATTTCTACACTTTTATACAGTGGACCCCGAATTTTTAATTTCCCTTCCAGAGAGTGCGACGAAAGCTGAAATTTACAAATGGCGAAACCCTTTTCCCCCATAAGAAATCATGTAAATCCAATTAATCTGTTCCACATACCCAAAAGCATTAAAAAAAATATTTTTTTTTTACATTAAATATAGATTTACATACAGAAAACAATGAGACATCAAGTATAAAACAATAATAACATCACACTTACCTTTATTGAAGACTCTTGTTGGTGTATGGAAGAAAGGAGGCAGGGAGAGGATGGAGAAGTTACACTATTTTTTGGAAGGGGAATCCCCTTCCAGAAAGACTTTAGGTACCAAGTCCTTATCCAGGGTTACTTCCCTTCTTTGTTTTTTAATGCCACTAGGACCAGCTTGAGTCACTGGACCCCTGTCACACAAAAAAAAACTGTCCAGAGAGCTCTTGCAGCTCTACCCTCTACCACAATCACTACCACCATCACAACCACTATCACCCTCTACCACAATCACAACCATTACCATCCTCTACCACCATCACAACCATTACCACCCTCTACCACCATCACTACCACCCTCTACCACCATCACTACCACCCTCTATCACCCATCACAACCACTACCACCCTCTACCATAATAATAATAAATTATTGAACTGACATTATCCAACAATTATGTTCTTCAGTCTGTTAACTGAGTATTTTCTGATCAAACCATTGCATGACTAATGTTGTCCTATGCTATACATCTAGTAATTGAAATTCACTTTATTACTGCTAAAATACTCACCAAATTCTTTACTGCCTCACTGGTTCCAGTATTAATTAATGTTGGGCTCCTCTCTCTCTTGTTTGGTTGAGTTTCTAACAGTGGCTTTGATGCAGATGCCTGTTTTTTGCAAAAAGTTGGCCTTAATGGTATGATTTTATCTTTTGATGTTGGATCATTCCCAGCTGGTATTTTGTCTGTGATAGCATTACTTTTTGACTGGGACTTACTATTGCTATTAGTAGGACGAGCTACAAAAACCGGTTTTGAAAAGGTTGGTCGATTTTTTTGAGTGAAAACATGCGTGAAAGCAGAACTAGATGAATGGTTAAAGGCAGGTTGAGCTAATCCAGAGGATTTTGTTGTACTTACTAATTCATGTTCAGAGGATGATGTCAAGCTCTTTCTAGTCATGTTATCTTGAACTGCAGGGATTTTAAGTACTGATACTTTTGTTACTTTTTTGAATACTGGGGCTCTAGGTGCAGAATATTTTTCTTGGATATTAGGACAAGCATTCTGCTCACCAACCTTGCTAATGCTACTATCTGACTGCTCTTGAATTGGAGGCATTTTTTGTGGATTTTCCTGTTCACTTTCTTGCTCAAAAATGAAAGATTCTTCAAGACCACTTGGTGGTGCATGGTGACATGAAAAGAGTTTGCTAGCTTTCTGAAATGAACATGAAGGAATTGAACCATCAGTGCCTTCCAAACTTTTGAAGCATTTAGTGCTAACTTCTGAATGCTGATGAATTTGAGACACCACCTTTAAGCCTTCATGCTTACTTGCTTGCTGAAAAATTGATGAAGATTTTGTTTGAGTATCTGATTCAGTATGTTGGGTTATGACAGATTTACTAGTCAACTTCATGTCAGGTTTCTGGAATGGTCCCTGAATGCTTTTTGCTCTCTCCCATGCACTTAGGTGACATTTAAATGTCTGTTTATTTAACACCTTTGATACTCCACCTGGGCTGAGAGACTCTAGTGGTGGACCTTTGTCTTCCATCATTTATAATGGAGAGCTCAATATTTATCTTGAGGATCTCTAGTTTCAATATCCTGAAATAATTAATAATGGATTACCATATATTCATAAACATGGACAATACTATTTATACATTTATATATAAAAAATGCATAAATAAATCTTTATTCTTTATGAAGATATAAGGTTTACAGAAATCATTTTACAGCAACAATGATTTACATAAAAAAGGCCCTAGTTATACAATACATTTCAGGAAAATTAAGACTAACTTAAGGAAGCCTTAAAATAACTTGATACTGATTAGCTCAAGTTTAATTAATTATGTAAATGATAAGGGTAACATAACTGGTTTATCTGAGGATAAGATTATCACTTCAATAACTGTTTTCTAAGTACCAAGTCTTTATCTACTCATCATGGCAATTTTAAGTTGAGTGGATTATTATTATTATAATCAAAAAGAAGCGCTAAGCCACAAGGGCTACACAGCTAATTTGAGTGGAGAATATACATAATATATACATGAATATATATATAATATTATACATGAATTTATATATATATATTTTTATATAATATAATATATATTTTATATATATATATATATATATATATATTTATTATATATATATATATTTATATAATATAATAAATATATATAAAAATATATTTTATTTATTTATAAATTATATTATATATTATATATATATATTATATATAATATATATATTATTTATATATATTTTACACATATATATACATATATTCAACAAGTCGGCCGTCTCCCACCGAGGCGGGTGACCAAAAAAGAAAGAAAATCCCCCAAAAAGAAAAAAACTTTCATCATCATTTTAACCTTTCACCACACTCGCACATTATCACTGTTTTTGCAGAGGTGCTCAGAATACAACAGTCTACAAGCATACACATATAAAGATACATGTACACAACATATCCCTCCAAACTGCCAATATCCCAAACCCCTCCTTTAAAGTGCAGGCATTGTACTTCCCATTTCCAGGACTCAAGTCTGACTATATGAAAATAACCAGTTTCCCTGAATCCCTTCACTAAATATTACCCTGCTCACGCTCCAACAGATCGTCAGGTCCCAAGTACCATTCGTCTCCATTCACTCCTATCTAACACGCTCACACACGCTTGCTGGAAGTCCAAGCCCCTTGCCCACAAAACCTCCTTTACCCCCCTCTCTCCAACCCTTTCAATGACGACCCCTACCCCGCCTTCCTTCCCCTAAAGATTTATATGCTCTCCATGTCATTCTACTTTGATCCATTCTCTCTAAATGACCAAACCACCTCAACAACCCCTCTTCTGCCCTCTGACTAATACTTTTATTAACTCCACACCTTTTCCTAATTTCCACACTCCGAATTTTCTGCATAATATTTACACCACACATTGCCCTTAAACAGGACATCTCCACTGCCTCCAAACGTCTCCTCGCTGCTGCATTTACCACCCAAGCTTCACTCCCATATAAGTGTTGGTACTACTATACTTTCATACATTCCCTTCTTTGCCTCCATAGATAACGTTTTTTGACTCCACATATACCTCAACGCACCACTCACCTTTTTTCCCTCATCAAATCTATGATTAACCTCATCCTTCATAAATCCATCCGCCGACACGTCAACTCCCAAGTATCTGAAAACATTCACTTCTTCCATACTCCTCCCCAATTTGATATCCAATTTTTCTTTATCTAAATCATTTGACACCCTCATCACCTTACTCTTTTCTAGGTTCACTTTCAACTTTCTACCTTTACACACATTCCCAAACTCATCCACTAACCTTTGCAATTTTTCTTTAGAATCTCCCATAAGCACAGTATCATCAGCAAAAAGTAACTGTGTCAATTCCCATTCTGAATTTGATTCCCCAAAATTTAATCCCACCCCTCTCCTGAACACCCTAGCATTTACTTCCTACTTTTACCGGGAAGTAGTCTCCCTCTCTTCTACACACCCTAACTTGAGCCTCACTATCCTCATAAAAACTCTTTACAGCATTTAATAACTTACCACCTATTCCATATACTTGCAACATCTGCCACATTGCTCCTCTATCCACTCTATCATATGCCTTTTCTAAATCCATAAATGCAATAAAAACTTCCCTACCTTTATCTAAATACTGTTCACATATATGCTTCAATGTAAACACTTGATCTACACATCCCCTACCCACTCTGAAACCTCCTTGCTCATCCGCAATCTTACCTCTAATTCTTTCAATTATAACCCTACCGTACACTTTTCCTGGTATACTCAGTAAACTTATTCCTCTATAATTTTTACAGTCTCTTTTGTCCCCTTTCCCTTTATATAAAGGGACTATACATGCTCTCCGCCAATCCCTAGGGACCTTCCCCTCTTTCATACATTTATTAAACAAAAGTACCAACCACTCCAACACTATATCCCCCCTGCTTTTAACATTTCTGTCATGATCCCATCAGTTCCAGCTGCTTTACCCCCTTTCATTTTACGTAATGCCTCACGTACCTCCCCCACACTTACATTCTGCTCTTCTTCACTCCTAAAAGATGGTATACCTCCCTGACCAGTGCATGAAATTACTGCCTCTGTTTCTTCCTTAACATTTAAAAGTTCCTCAAAATATTCTCGCCATCTACCTAATACCTCCATCTCCCCATCTACTAACTCCCCTACTCTGTTTTTAACTGACAAATCCATACTTTCCCTAGGCTATCTTAACTTGTTTAACTCACTCCAAAATTTTTTCTTATTTTCATTAAAATTTCTTGACAGTACCTCTCCCACTCTATCATCTGCTCTCCTTTTGCACTCTCTCACCACTCTCTTTATCTTTCTTTTACTCTCCATATACTCTGCTCTTCTTATAACACTTCTGCTTTGTAAAAACCTCTCATAAGCTACCTTTTTCTCTTTTATCACACCCTTTACTTCATCATTCCACCAATCACTCCTCTTTCCTCCTGCCCCCACCCTCCTATAACCACAAACTTCTGCCCCACATTCTAATACTGCATTTTTAAAACTATATCTTCTTCTTTCTTTCAACACACTGGCCGTATCCCACCGAGGCGGGGTGCCCCAAAAGAAAAAACGAAAGTTTCTCCTTTTACATTTAGTAATATATACAGGAGAAGAGGTTACTAGCCTCTTGCTCCCGGCATTTTAGTTGCCTCCTACAACACGCATGGCTTACAGAGGAAGAATTCTGTTCCACTTCCCCATGGAGGTAAGAGAAAATAAACAACAAGAACAAGAACTAGTAAGAAAATATTAGAAAACCCAGAGGGGTGTGTATATATATGCTTGTACATGTATGTGTAGTGTGACCTAAGTGTAAGTAGAAGTAGCAAGACATACCTGAAATCTTGCATGTTCATGACACAGAAAAAAGGACACCAGCAATCCTATCATCATGTAAAACAATTACAGGCTTTCGTTTTACATTCACTTGGCAGGACGGTAGTACCTCCCTGGGTGGTTGCTGTCTACCAACCTACTACCTATATATAAATATATATATATATGTCGTGCCGAATATGTAAAACAGGTCAATTAGCAAGAACTCATTTAAAATTAAGTCCTTTCTAAAATTTTCTTTTATATATTTAAATATATATTTTTTTCATTAATGTTAATGTAAAAATTTTTAATTTTGCACCAGAAGAATCTTAGAAAACTTACCTAACCTTGTTATAACAAGAACAATTTATTTTAGCCTAACCCAACTAAATATATTTTAGATTTGTTTACAATAATTTAAAACTAAACAAATACAATGAAATATATTTTTTTCGTTAGGTTCAGAATGATTTTAGCGAAATTATTGCATACATAAATTTTCACTTGTCCTATATGGCAAGATGAGCGTTGCTATTTAAGCCAAGATCGCAAGTTCTGCCTATTCGGCACGACATATATATATATTTATGTATATATTATGAATATATATATATATATATATATATATATATAAATACATATGCCTATATATATAAGAGAGAGAGAGAGAGAGAGAGGAGAGAGAGAGAGAAAAGAGAGAGAGAGAGAGAGAGAGAGAGAGGAGAGAGAGGAGAGAGAGAGAGAGAGAGAGAGTGTGAGAGTTGAGTGTGAGAGTGTGAGAGTGTGAGATGTGATTGATGATTGATTGATTGATTGATTATGGGTAGCGCTAAACCCGTATTATTATAATAAAGGGGGAAGCGCTAAACCCGGAGGATTATACAGCGCCTGGGGGAAGATGTGGAAGGCATTCAGGCTTAATTCGGGGAACTGGAGCACAGATCCAATTCCCTAAATCAAGAGCCCCTCACCAACATCAAGGAACCTTCCTTGAGGGGACTAAACCCGTAGGGATTATATAGCGCCTGGGGCAAAGAGGAAGACATTCAGGCTTAATTCAGGGAATTGGAGAAAAGATGGAATACCCGTGATAAGATCCCCTCACTAGCATTAAGGAACCTTCCTTCAGGAGTGAGGTTGAGCGCCCAACTTACCATCATGGCACCCTCACCACACTTTATTTAACCCATAATTTAACGTATTACAAAACACATACATCATGGCAGGCATAGTACCATGTTCACCAACATGTTAAGATATAAGATCATGCTCCAGAAACATACAAGTCATAAATAAAAGGAGAAATACCTAGAAAAATAGAGAAGAACGAGTGAGTGCTGTACTCTTCTCTCACTGACGCCACCAAACAACTTGTCAATATCACTTTTCACTTATTTACATCATTATACACTTACCATTTCATTATTTGGATTTACAAAGACATAGGTTTATTAATTTAGAAACCTACATACAAAGATAACTTTTTTATATTACATATTTAACATTACAAAGGTGTACCAAATGAAAATTTGGCGGTCTTTTTCAAGGCATTACTTTAACAATAATTAACAATTTAATAATGTAGCTGAGTAAATTATTATTATTATTATTATTATTATTATTATTATTATTATTATTATTATTATTATT